ATTAGATCTGCCTGCCTCATTATTATTGTATTGTTTTTGTCCATTCATATGTCCTAGAGTTTAATGAGCCCTCTATTCTAACTCTTATAAACACCTTTTATCGTATAATGCCAGTATATTACTGCCTCCTTCTATCTATTAGCCTTTCTATAATCATTACAGACCTAGAGGGAGTTTAGGAGACCTTTTTTGATCCCCCAAAACTTTGAAAAGATGTAACAATGATTATTACATGTGGGTGCACTGTACAACATATGCAGGCTTTATTTCATATTCCTGAAAGTACTCAGGAATGATTGAGAGATAGAGCCATCAAGAGTACATATGCTCTTCCTAATGTTATATACTCCTTGCAATGTAATGTGTACTCATCCTTATCAATGTGTGTGTGTGTGTGTAGCCTTGCTAGCCAGACCATTCCCCAGCCTATAGGCATTGGACCCAATGACTGTAGGCTAGGGAATGGTCTGTGTAGCGAGACTAGTGTGTTTGTGTGTGTGTGTGTGTGTGTGTGATGTCATTGTGAAGAGGAAACTGAAATGATAGCAAAGAAGGAAACTTTGGCATGGCTTCCGCCTCTCATTTAGTGTACACACACACACACACACACACACACACACTCAAGGAAGGAGTTCAAGATTATGTGTGTTTGTTTTTGCTGTAGGACAGCTCTGGTAAAAACAAGGCCTATATTGAAGGATTAGAGACAACAGAGACTTATAAGTAATGAACACACACACTTGCGCATACTTATTCTGTGAATCAGCTTCATTGTTTGAGGCTACAGTTTACACATATGTACTTTTATTTACATTCATGTACCAATTATACTTTATTAGACCATACTCTTTTGTTTGATGATTTCTTGTTTATAAGCACAGACTGTATGTTATCCCTTTCTTTCCTCCCTCCCCATTCTCCTCCCTCTCTCTCCCCCTCTCTCTCCCTCTCTCTCTCCCCCTCTCTCTCCCCCCCTCTCTCCCTCTCTCTCTCCCCTCTCTCTCTCCCTCTCTCTCTCCCCCCCTCTCTCTCCCTCCCTCTCTCTCCCTCCCTCTCTCTCACCCCTCTCTCTCTCCCCCCTCTCTCTCTCCTCTCTCTCCTGCTTTATAGAATAACAGTTCGATGTGCTTATGAAGGAGACTTAGAATCAATAGATAGCAATCCAGTCTTTGCCATTTACTCTCACTCTCCCTCCTTCTCAAATGATGATGTGCCAGAGTCTGAGGGGCAATGGGCCATTGATGAGCTCCACACTCATACAGCAATGAAAGGAAGGAGAAAAGCAATTGTGGTCATCAAGAGCAAAGAGAACCAGCTAATAAGTGATAATTTGGATATTGTCACACGTTTCCAGGACTCCCCACACGACACTGATGATAATGCTAGCATAAGACAGGAAGGAGAATGCAGGGAGTCGACACCAGTTGCTCTAAAGAGTGATGAGAATCAGGACAGGACTGTGACACAGAAGCCTATGCAAGCGCTACAACCTGATAATGAAACCGCTTTAGAGTCTTGTAAAGATAATAAAGAAGATAATAAGGAAGGTGATACGAATACTTATGCATCAAAGGAAGGCGATATGCCAGAACTAGAGTCCACTCTTTCTCAAGATGCATTAGCTAGTAGTAAAAGTACTGATGCTAGTAGCACTGTGGCACAAGAGTCAGAAGGCCACACATCAAACAGTGAGAGTACTGAAACTAATGAATCAACAGATGAGTAATACTGAAACTGTTATTACATAAACTTTAGGCAGCAAAAGACAATTATATTTAAACTTTAATCTCTTATTATTAATTAATGAGGCACTGTATTCAACTCAAAGTTAGTCATTAATCAAGTGTCAGTGGATGTACTGCAGCAACTGTTAACGTAATGGTTGAAATTGAATTTTTTTTCAAAAAAAACATCACAACATAACTCAAACAAAATTAGATTAATGGTCAAGGAAAAATCAGCAAAAATAAATATTGAATAATAATAATAATAATACTAACTCTACGTGATACACACTAACTAACAATAATGGCAAAATAATAAGCAGCTTTTAGTAATGAGTCACAACAAAATAAAATAGGCAAACACCTGTATAGGTCGATGCTATGTTAGCAATAGTTCATGTATGAGATATAGTCAGAATGTAAATACGTCAATGAGTCTCTGATCTTGTACTTGGGGGGTCTGGTGAGTAATAGTCTTTAGAATGAACTTGTCGTAATATTAAACGTCAAATCGTCACTGCAAAAAATATGCAAAGTTTTTTTAAAGTCGTCTCTCATGGAAAGAGACAGCTCCGGCCAGTTTCCAGTTGTGGAGGTCTGGGGGAGAGTATTCGTTAATTAACAAAAAGAGTAACGTCTTGTCCCAGAAGTTGGGAGCGTCGTCTAAAGTCTTTGGTTTGTAGGTTTTGTGCCGTAAGAAAGAGAGAGAGGAAGAGTGAAGGAAAGCAAGTTGTCGGTTTATTATTATTTGAGTCTCTGAGCTTGTGTCTTGAATTTAATTTTGTGTGTGTCTTCAATATTTGTGTGTGGGCGTGGCACCGCCTTTCCCTCGGGTTTGTCGCAATGATACACATGTACGCGTGTATAATCGTTCGGGATTAGTCCAGAGGTTGTTCTCTGTGTAGTAGATGAGGGGGGAAGGAGGTGGTGGATGGTAATGGTCGTATGTTCCACGCCTGTAGAGTGACATTTTGGAGCGGAGTCCTCCTGTCTAGTCATAAAGTCTGTCAAAAAAAGAGCATGTACCACGTTACAAGTATACATACATGCAGTTTTGTTTACACCTAGTCAATTGTTTCGATCGGTGTCTAAATAAAGTCCTGTCTATTAGTCGTTGGGTCTTAAAAGTCAAGGGGTTTAGTCATCGTCGGTAGGGTCTGCCCAGGGGCGGAATGGCTGCTTGGTAGCTGAAGGTGAGGAAGAGGTTGAACTGCAAAATTTCTTAGTTGGCGAAATAGGGGTGGCCTGGACGGACCCCTCAATCTTGGCAAGGGATATGATGGGTGGGTGGGCATTAGGAGTTGCAATATGTGCGGCACCGAAAACAGGGACAGTGGCAGTGGTGGGGGCAAAGGAGATGACCGGGGTCGGGAGAGCAAACGTTGTTGGCGGGGACAGGTTGCCGTCTGGTGAGGCTCTATGGGCTGGGATTGGAATAAAGGGCCCAGTAGCGTGCTGTATGGCAATACCAGCTGGAGGGAGAGTTGCTGGAGGAGACAGTTTGGGAAGACCCATCTGAGCACTGGCAGCTACTGCGGCATTGATGGCAAGCTCACGCTGAGTGAGGTAGTTCTCAAGGTGGTTGAGAACTCGGACTCTCATGGGGTCTTTCATGTCAAGGCCTTCAACGTTTGTCATGTAGCGGGCAACTTCGGCCACGCACTCACGGAATCCCATTACCCTGTAGTCAAGGAAAGCACGAGTGTTGGAATAGGCAGAGAGAGGGTCAGTGAATCCTATTAGGAGAGGAGAGAGATGATTTAAATTTATGAAACCATTAATCACTTTGGATGCCACACATTCCACAGTTTTATCACTAATAAACTAAGCACCATTAGCACCATGTACATGTATATAAGCATGTATACATTTTGACTATGAGGCTGGCAAGTCATACAAATGCAATGAGATCATTTAAACTCTTAAATACCAAAGCATATACATAACTACTATACACACACACACACACACACACTCTATTACATCCAGTGACATTCCTAATGTCATAACATCTGTTCACAATCCTTTAATAGGAGCTAATCTTACCTCTTGGGTCTCTGGTCTGGTGGAGGTGGCGAAGATGATCAACGGTCATCTGGAGTATCTCTGCCTTCTCAAGTTTGGCTGAGCCCTGCAAGATACAAATGAAAATATGTCAATTGTTATTACTACGCATTTCAAGAGTGCAAGAGAGAGGGAACACCTGTCTACTATAGGACCATCAAATAAGTGTCAACGTGTAGTCGTCTAATTGCATGCACTTCGAGTCATTAATTGTCAAATATTTGGTAATCATCGCTTACGTGCGACATAACAAGCTACAAGCAAAGCATCTGCGTGTGCGTGTGTGTGGATTATGAATAATTGCATAAGCAGCAAGAGCCATCAAGAGACAAGGAGATAACACAAGCAAGGCATAGGGAATGCGTGCGATAAGTAGACATGAACTAAAAATAGTAATTTAAGAGATATACGACACAACATCATCTGCCATAACAACTATAGTAGACACAAACACCGACAAGCTAGCCAGGTGACATTATTTACTAAAGACTGTGTGTGTGTGTGTGTCAATAATTATACTGGTATATACACTTTGTGCTGCATAATGTGTGGCAGTGGTAGTGCATGTGCTTAGTTTACTTTTGTGGGTCTGTTTGTGTGCGTTATCCTTATTATGTCCCATGGGAATCGACCCAGACTAGTGGCATATGCACAAATAAACAAAATGACCCATTGGAGCCACACTGACAAGAGGATTGGATGATAGAAAAGGGATTCTTTTTGGTATTTATAATTGCAACAACTACAGCACATGCCAGGGACTGATGATATGATAGGAATCTAAGACCACACAAAAGGTTGTATCCACACACACACACTCTTTCAATAAACTACCGCACAAAGTCACTCGTCAAAATAATACTGGCACCCTCTGTAACCCGATCCCTTATCCTCTTGTTTTGAGAATATGAGAGAGTGGGCGATACTCTCTCCCCTCCCTATGGCATACAATGACAACAGGTGGAAGAGATAGGGTGAGACTGGAGGCTGGACTGTGGGTAAAAGGCTGTTAGTAGTCATGGCAACAAAGAGCCGATCCCTCCCCAGACAACTGCACTGAAACCCTGCCGGTACACAAGCCACTTCCCATCTGTCCTTAACATCAAACAATCTCAAAGGGTGACAGTCAGAAACCACTTAAGGGCACATGCAACCAGACCAGACTGAGGGGCGCCTCTGGGCTCCTGTGTGAGCATGCACAATCCATACACATACTGACAACAAGGCATGGTTTTGGTAATTGGAAGACATGTATCAATAATTCATTTAGCTATTGTGCTATCTGGCAAACAACTGGTTTCATTGTGTCTTTTTCCCCTTTGATGCAAATGCAACTTTCCCTTTTAATACACGTATATACATATACCCTCTCAATACAAAGAAGATGTGCCCTCTTTCAATACAAAGTACCATACGTGCATACTATAAACTATGTGGTTTGTGATCTATAATACTAATTTTCTCACCTGTTTTTCAAATGCAGCAGGCACAAGTCGGCGTAGCTCCATAAGACAGTTGTTGATGCGATCACGACGTCTTTTCTCAATAATCTAATGAGGGAGGGAGGGAGAGGGAGGAAAATAAAGTCAAGGCTAGCAAATGTCACAGTTATTGCAAGAACACATAGCTGTGTGCATGACTGCGTGTCGATGTATGCATGAGTATGTAGGTGCTTCTGGCTCACCCCACGCCTCTTCTTTCTTGAAACAACTTGAGCGGTGTCGGGGCTAAAGAAAGACAGAGAAAGAGAACAAGTAACAAGATTGTTTTCAAAGGCACATCCATAGTTGCTACAAGTAGCGGCAATATGCAGTCAGAGGTGACGTTCACACTTCGAACTGTCGCCATGACTTGGAAAATGGTTTTACCTGGAACACTCTTCATATTCTTCGTTCATTTCAGTCTCTGAGTCACTAAGATGACGCTTCATCTTGATTTGCTGTTCAACGGAGTTGGTTTCTTCTTTTTAAAATTTAGTGGTCGGCGGCAGGAACCGTCTGTAGATTTTCTCAGGCGAGAAGGAAGGAGAGGTTAAAAGTAGAAAGGAAGGTAGTTAGGAGATACAGGATAACAAACAAAAGAGCTAAGAGGCAACGCAAAGAGCAAGAAAGAGCTGAAAGAGAAAGAGAGATAGGAGCAGAGAGGGGAAGGCACGAAGAGAAAATTGCTGCATTCGCTTTTTATAGCTCCAGCGGACCGTCGGTTCTGCAATCTGATTGGTCAGACTTGACGGCGTATATCTAATTACAGTACCATGAATAATTTAAAATTATTATCAAAATGGCAGAAAAGGACTCGGACTCTTTAACAGAAGAAAGAAAACAAGAAGAGCAGGAATGCATTCCCAATCTTTTTACTTTCTTTAAATTATGCAGCAAACTCAAGGTAGGTAAGCCTAGCCTAGAGTCTATAAACTTTGTATATTTATACTTTAACTATTATTAATAATTAGATCTATTATGATATTTAAAATGATTGAATTGAAGGTGAATTGATTTAATAATTAAAAAAATAATTTTATTAATAATGCGCTTCTGATAATATAGCATCCCAATTGCCAATGATAGTAGTTATTTATCCCCAGCCCCCCAGAGGGCCCCCTTGCATAGACAGGCCCGAATTGTTACATGTACATGAGGAGGAGTATATGGTTTGGTATAAAGCCCCGGAGACACAACTGGTTGCACGTCATTTGACATTGTTCTCACTCTATTCCTCCGTACACACGTACCTTGTTCCTAGACAAACCACTCAATCATTTTCTCACGAGCTTCGGTTGCCCTGGCGATACAGCTGGTCACTCTCTTTGTCGGTCTCTGAGATTAAAGACTTGTTAGTCTGTACCCTCTCATTCATGAGCACTATAGCAACCATGTGCCTTGTAACAATACAAGGTGTTCATCGTCAGGTTAAAGAATAGCCATACATATGTATCACCACACTCTGCCCATGAACATACCCACATGCATTTACCATAATACCATATAGCAAGAAATTTTGAAGGGAGTTAAATTTGGTGAATTGCTAAACTTTTGTGATTGGCGAATTTTAATTTGGCGAATTTGTGGCCATGTGCCATTGAGCATGCGTATAATGGCTCAAAATGACGGATTTTTATTTTGGCGAATGGCTATCAAAACGCCGAATTTGCCAAATTTAACTACCTCCAAAGTTCCTCCTATACGGTAGCAAGTAGGAATTGACTTTAGCTCTGTTTATTTTTATTCTAAACTACCATTTTGTACACTTAGCATTGAGGAGTGCGTTTTTTATTTAGAAAATGTTTGTTCCAAATGTTTGTTCCACACGGAATGAGAACTAAAAGACTGAGATTGTAAACTATAACCAGCTATGCGTCACGTCTCATTCACAGCAGTGTTTCTGTTTATTGTGTTTGTTTATGTGTGTTTTCTGACAAAGAAAATCTAATTTGAACCATGCAAATATTATATACATGTACATGTATATTCTTTTTATAAGTACAATACATGCATCATAATATCTGTATTTCCACCACACAAAGCATAGCAACCGTAATGTGCTCAATGGTGTCAGTTTCTCATTGATTATCAATAGAGGAAGGATTCATTCATTATATTCCCATTTTTGGCTATACTTAATGACTATAATCACGTATGGAATGTATCGCCCTAAATAGTGGCCCTGTAAGCATGTGATATTACGTCATGAGGAAATTTTTAGTCTTGTGATACCTGCTGGAGTTGCTGGGTACTGTTGCAATTGGTGAGACTGTTGTGCAAGTTCCTCATTCATCATGCATTATGTAATGAATGATATAGTATACATGATGCCCTTTAAATGATGCTCTCTCTCTCTCTTTCTCTTGTCACTCTGACACTATTCGCTATTGGTTTGATGATGCATCAGATATACATTGTGTATACATTATTTCATGAATTACCTCATCACATATTAATGCCTGTAATAGTGTCACTACTATAAATGGCAGTATCATCATTGTGTGTGTCCATGCCTATGCTGTTATTATTATTATTTTATTACTAAACGTGATGATGCAATTTGATGCCATGCCTGACCTAATACATGTATTAGCCAATAGCCTCTGGCTGATAGTACAGCCAGCCCGTATTTCCTCCAAAATTATTTTGAATTCTGTATGCATCACCAGGCACATCAAAACTTTGAACTACTCGGAATCGAAGGAAGAGACCTTCCATTCCAGGCAAAATATTGTCTCGTTTACTCCGATATAAAAAAGAATGCGTCACTAGCAAGTATGTCTATGTACGCTTTGTTGTTGTACCTCATGAAATGACTAATTTGGCATATTGACTGGAGAGGTGCTTTGATACTCATTCGTACACACACTCTGTTGTGTATGTTTGGTAATATATACAGGAAAACATAGCAGACACAACATAGACACAAGCACACACGCTGACACACTTATGTATCAACATACCAGAACTGGTAGACATACTTTTGAACTTTTCATTGATCTCTCCCTCCTCTCTCTCTCTCTCTCTCTCTCTCTCTCTCTTCTCTCTCTCTCTCTCTCCTTCTCCTCTCTCACTTTCTCTTTCTCTCCCTCTTTCTCTCCCTCTTTCTCTTGTACATTGTCTTCCTCTTAATACCTCCTTTTTTGTTTGAAGATATTAAAGTGTGAGATTGTGTGTGTAGCAGTCTTATTGATCAAAGGTGTTAAATTATATGTCATTACATAACGTTATGTGTGCCTCACTCCTAATGAAATGATTGGTGTTAGGATCCACTCCACAGCAAGCCAACCTGCAGCTGTTATAATGAACTGGCTTCCCTTTCATCCCTAGCTTACTGGCACCATCCTCCCTCCCTCCCTCCCTTCCTCTATTGTCATTCCTTTTGTCACTCCTTTGTTTGCTCTTTCACACTCTTTTATGTCCTTTTTCTCTTTTGTCTTTTCTTCCTCACTTGCCTTCTCTTTTCCTTTCTCTTTAATTCTCTCTCTCTGTCTCTGTCTCTTTTTCTCTCTGTCTTTCTGTCTCTCTTTCTCTTTCTTTCTCTTTTTGTTTTCTTTCCCTCAGCATTTAAAAAGGACCGGTTGGGTTAATCATAACGTCAAAGAGCCAGAGACAGTTGCGGGGCACATGTACAGAATGAGTCTAATGTCCTTCCTCTTCTCTAAAGACAACTCGATTGATTACAATAAGTGTGTCATTGTGCATGCACCTTATTGAATAATTTAATTACGTGCTGCAAATAATTGTATTTTTATTATTGGTTATGCATTGTGCAAATATTATTATTATTATTATTATTAATTGGATGTGTAGATGTGTTAAGATGTCACTGGTTCACGATCTAGCTGAGAGTATTGTTGGGGACTTGACTCCGTCTTGTAATGTCAGTAAAGAAGAGAAGCATCAGAGAGAGAAAGTATGATATCTGATCATCCTCTCTCTCTCCCCCCCTCTCTCTCTCTCCCCCCTCTCTCTCTCTCTCCCCCCCCCCCTCTCTCTCTCTCTTTTCAATCTTTTCTCAATCCTTCTTCTTTTCTGTCTTTTTCCCTCCCTCTCTTTCTTCCACCCATTCTTTTGTTTATGTTTGGGTTTGTGTTTTGGTGGGTATTCTACCTTGTGGGCCTCCAAAGTCCCAAAACGAGCAAGTAAAAACCCTCCCTGCCTCACGCAGTTGCCTACATAGCTATTCCAGTGTGGTGACTCAGTTCCTGAAATTTTTATGTCATCTCATTCATTTTCATAACCGCAGACCACTTTAATGTGGTCACAGTATAGACAATATAATTCAATAGTAGGGGAAGTATATGGAGAAGGGGGAGATACAGCTACTACAACATTGCATTTTATATTATCGGGCTTCCTCCTTGGCAACCAGGGATACAGGCCCACGTGCAGCTTGAACATGGTCTACATGTGTTTGCTGTGACATGTAAGCCATAGAAGTAGTTTTGTGTGTGTGCGTATGTTTGACTTACAGCTGTGCTTATAGTACAGCTGTGGTGGTGTGTGTACGGTACCTATAGTGTGTTTACATGTATGTACCTGTATTTTACTTTTATTAGGATGCTATGGTAAAGATTTCTGAGCTTGTTCCCAAAGAGGTAATGAATGATATGCTTATATGTATACGTGTGCCTTTCTAATCTTATTGACTGTATTCCATTGTTCCTAAAATGGTGTACAATGGCAAGCCCAAGAAGGCTTTTTTTACATATTGCATTACCACTTGTTTATCCATTGCTCCCAGTCATAGCAGAACTGTATATTGTCACGTACCAGACTTAACAAATGTTTAATAATGTTTTACATGATTGATTACGTAAGGGCCGACTTTTATTTATTATTATTATTATGTTTCAGGTTGGTCAGGAATTATACTCGCTCTGGACGGTAAGATTATGACTATCTTGTATCGTATTGTGTATCAGTTTAGCTCTTTTTGACTTCCTTTTTTCTTCTTCATAAGCAGCAAATATCTTATTTCAATTCATGCGGGCACGTTAAGCTAAGAGCTTCATGCTTCAGCTGTATGGGAGCCACTCACTATCTTATGCATGTAGATTTAGAACTATCGCAACTTGTGACATACTTCCATAAATTCACTCAACATACGAACATGTACATTAAACTTATAGAGCTTTGTGCTTCACTTCTATTGCAGTCAATTAGACATCATACATCACCACTCTATGTTATCTATGTGCATATAGAAGCTTTCAAGATGTGACTTACATCATGATGCATGTACATGTGTTCTGTAGAGCGTGCGCCATGTGTATAGTTGTTTGGATTTGGTGTAAATTTAATTTCTTTTAGGACTATGAAGAGTGTTTGTCACCAGAGGCAGTATTAGTTCATGATCTGGACAAGTTTGATATGATATTTCAGGCATATGAATACGAGACAGGAAAGAATAGAAAGAGAGAGAGAAAGAGGAGGGAGAGAGAGAGAGAGAAAGAGGAGGGAGAGAGAGAGAAAGAGAGAGGAGAGAGAGAAAGAGGAGGGAGAGAAAGAGAGAGAGAAAGAGGAGGGAGAGAGAGAGAGAGAGAGAGAAAGAGAGAGAGAGAGAAAGAGAGAGAGAGAGAGAGAGAGAGAGGAGGGAGAGAGAGAGAACCAGTGATAAGAGGAAGAGTTGGATTGTTTGTTTTTATTTTATTTTAGATCAAGGTAGAAAGGGTGAACTGCAGCAATTCTTTGATTCAACAAAAGGTATTCGTATTATTGCTTATCTTGTTAAATTTTGTAGCTCTTAATAATTTATTTTAAATTATCAATTAATCAATTTTTAATTAATTTAGATATTTTCAAAAGTTCAACTGTGCAGCTGTGGACTGCTCAATTATTAAAAATCCGCCAAGAGAGTGAGACCATAGAAAAAGAAAAATAATAATTACTGATATTCAATTTATTAATGATTTTGAGAAAAATTAATTATTAACTTTAAAACCCCGCCCACCACCTTAATGAGCCACGCCTACAAAATGGCGGCTGAATGGCAGTACCCAAAATTGAGGCGAGATGAGAGCGTCCGTGAAGAAAGAGCAGGTGGGGTAGTAGTCTCAGACCCTTACCGATGGCTGGAAGATCCCGACAGTGAAGAGACGAGGGAATTTGTGCGTGCCCAGAACGCCATTACTACCCCTTACCTTAAAGACTCTCCCGTGAGAGACAAATTCCACGAAAGGTAAATTGAGTAATGCTGTTTTTAGTATCATTTTAAAGATGAAGTGAGTTTTAAATTTTCGGTTTTGTGTGTTACAAATGTTGACCTAAAATCATATGGCTTTTCACCATAAATGACTTTGAAAGATTTCTTATGTACCTGTACATGTGGGACATGGTATTTTATTTTAAAATGGGTAGGTTAGAATTCTCCTTTTAATATATTTTTCTGATGCGTATACATGTACTTATGTTGCGTAGAAAGTTTGAGTTGATTCCGATCAAGTTTGGATTTTTAATGAATTTTTGAAGTTGCTCCGAAATCAGGCAAAAGTCCCTGTACTATAGTACAGGGACTTTGGCCAAAAATCATCAAAATTGGGTAGGAGAGAATTCTTAATTTTTATAATTTTTTCTAAGACATATACAAGTTTTTATGTTGCATAGAAAGTTTGAGCTGATTCAGATCAAGTTTGGATTTTTTACGAATTTTTAAAGTTGCTCTAAAATCGTGCAAAAGTCCCTGTACTATAGTACAGGGACTTTGGCCAAAAATCACCAAAATTGGGTAGGAGAGAATTCTTCATTTTTATAATTTTTTCTAATGCATATACAAGTTCTTATGTTGTGTAGAAAGTTTGAGCTGATTCTGATCAAGTTTGGATTTTTTACGAATTTTTAAAGTTGCTCTAAAATTGAGCAAAAGTCCCTGTACTATAGTACGGGGACTTTGCCCAAAAATCACTAAAATTGGGTAGGAGAGAATTCTTCAGTTTTATAATTTTTAAAAAGACATATACAGTTTTTATATTGCATAGAAAGTTTGAGCCGATTCCGATCAAGTTTGGATTTTTTACGAATTTTTTAAGTTTCTCCCAAAAGTTGGAGAGCCCACTCTGTTTAGCTCTTATTAGCTCACTTTGTGAGAATGAATCCCTCATATTACTTACATGCATTCATTAATTGATTTACATGTACACGTACATGTAATAGCTGACACGTGTAACTTGATCATGCGAGGACATGTGAGCCTTCTTTAGTGCTCTAATGCATGTACATGTACATGTACAAGTACATAATAGTAAATTGGATAGACAAAACGTATGCATGTGAAATATGTACTGTAATAAGATTAAAATGTAACAAATCATGTGCCAGACTATCTGTCATGCCTTGTGTACTGTACTTTACAGTTATTTCTTATCTGTACATTATAGGATGTCAGAGTTGCATAATTATCCAAAATATTCTTGCCCTTTTAAGCGAGGGAGCAGATACTTCTATTACTACAACACTGGACTACAGAATCAAAAGTCAGTCCATTGACATACAATGTATACACTAGCTGATAGATGAGTATAATTGTGATAATAATGATAATAATACAATTCATTCAGCTATTGTGCACATGCATTAATATGTATTATGATACTCTGGCAAGGAACTATTAAATACTTACTTTCTCTATCAATCTCTCTCTCTCTCTCTCCCCTCTTCCCTCTCTCAGTGTCCTCTATGTTCAAGAGACAATAGATGCTGATCCTGAGGTATTCATTGATCCTAATGATTGGTCCAAGGATGGTACAATCTCTCTTGGGCAATGCTCCTTCTCTGAGGATGGAGCATACTGTGCTTACACTGTCAGTGAGAGTGGGTCTGATTGGACAACAGTACGAGTAAGTACACCCCCAAAGAGAGAGAGAGAGAGAGAGAGAGAGAGAGAGAGAGAGGGAAAGAGAGAGAGAGAGGGAGAGAGGGAGAGAGAGGAAAGAAAAAAGAAAGAGATAAGAATGTATCATTTTTTAATCTTGATATGGAAGGAGGGTCAGCTGGTCAATATAGACCTGATGAGAGGTTAAGTAGGAAACCAGGAGGCATAGTAAAGGGAAGGATTAGAACCAGGGGAAAGAGAGAGATAAGAGAGAGAGGGGAGAGACAAAGAGAGTATTATGTAGACAGACTGGCAGACAGTGAATGAATACACATGAAAGACTGAGTCTCTAGTGGTTGCATTTGTACAGAAGGAGATGGAGAGTGTATAGAATAGGATCGACCACAGATAATAAAAGTGTTTTTTACAATAACCCAGGTTAAAGATGTGGCCAGCAAGGAGTTATTGAAGGATGAACTGAAGTGGGTCAAATTCTCAAGCATAGCATGGACTCATGATAACAAAGGCTTCTTTTATCAAGTGAGACACCACAGACTCACTTGTAAGCCAAGGAGAGGCTTCTATCATTATTATTGTCTATACATACACTTGTGTTGTGGGTTATTGTATTATTGTACATGTACATGTACATGTGCCCGTACAGTACTGTATATGCATGTACAGGTATTTGTGGTGCATGTATTGTGTACAGTGTATAGTTGTACTTCACACCTTTTGGTGACCAGAAACACCTTTTGGTTGCCAGCTCCGTATCTGTATTACATGCTTGAGTAAATCACTTCCCTGACCTCTAGACAGGCTCTTCCTTAGTCTGACCACTGCTAGTATAATGTAGTACGTCTATTGGACAATAAAATTCTCTCTTGGTATTGTCCGTCTCACTATGGCTGTGAAAATGTGCCCGCTCACGTATTAGATGTACATGTACATGTATGTTATATCATCAACATAATTTGATAGTACTATATCTTACATGTATATTAATGGAATTTTGGCTTTATTATTTAATTTGAGATGATTCGGCTATGCTATAAAACTCCGCATTAGCTATGTAGCCATGCAGAGTCTCGTTCTGTGGTATTAACCTACCTATTTCACAACTTGTACAAAAACTCCCCCTGCTAATAATTTTCTATCTGATCTCACCATAACTGACACGCATATACACACAAACACACATGATAGTAATAATAGTATTTGTTTTGTCGTTAGAATATAGTATATGGCTCCTTTTGCCGGTGGTGGGAATATTACTATTTTGTTATTCAATTATCAGTAACCACATGAAAGCTGTTGCTCTAGTCCTCCATTATTGGATAGTAGATTATGAGCAAGCATTGATGAATCAAGCCTTACGTAATCCTTCAACACAAACCTTTCAAAATGCACACACGTGTGTGTACCACTTATGGCTCCTGTCTATGCTTTCGGTATAAGAATCCCCAGCTGTAACATAGTACAACTATATCTAAGTCGTATGGTAACCACAATATATCCTTTATAACAATCTGTATAATACTTTATATATGTACAGTCACTAGTTTGTAGAAGTTAATATAGTATAATTAATTGGCTATGCTTGTATGTTATGAATACTTAGAATGATATTCTGTGCATGCCCACATTCAACTCAGTTTCATCATAAACTGTTTCACTATTACTATAGCCTTCGCTAGAACTACGTGTACATGTACATGTACATACAAGCAGTACTAATCAGTCACCTGGAATAGATCCAGTTCCTTTTTGATGTACCGGTTCCTATGTGTAGGATTTTTCTTATGATAGGGGAAATTGTGTACTCCTGAACTTGAGCAATATCGTAATGATTGATATACAGCTTATTGTGTACATGTACGCGTACATGCAGTAAGCTTCCACATTATGCATATATACAGTATATACTAAATGTACAAGTATATGTATGATACATAAGTACATGTACATGTATATGTACATGTATGTAGTACGTACGTGGTACATGGCTACATGCTCTTTTTTATCCTTTAAATGGAAAAGCACCACACATACATGTATTGTACGGATACTGAATTGGTAGTTAAGGAACTACATGTAGTTCATATGTGGTTCACATCTAGTACAAAGCAAGGGAATTTCTATCATTCCTAATCTTTATAATGCCTACTTTAACTTTTTATTATTTATTTATTATTTTATTATTATAGAGATTCCCAGAGCCTGATACTAAATCTGCAGGGACTGAAACATCTCAAGTATTAAATCAAAAGGTTATTATTATTATTATTATTATTATTATTATTATTATTAATTCGATTATTTGTTTTGATTATAGTGTATTTTCTTTATCATTATGTCTCATTGTTTCTCTCCCCCTCTCCTCCTCCTCTATGCCCCCTTTCCTTCTTACAGCTCTATTATCATCTCCTTGGCAATGACCAGTCAGATGATGTCCTTTGTTACGAGTTTCCTGACCACCCAGACTGGCTAAAGTAATTGTTGATAATGATAATAGCTACATAATAAGCTTTGTATTACATGTACATGTACATTATACATGTTTAGTTACAATTAATAGGCTAATTATAGGGTTCATGTCACTGTAATAAATTTTAATTTTTACATTGTTTTCTTCTCTAATTGCCGTTGGGTAGAAGCTACGTGTACACGTACATTTATGTGTCTTCTCAAATGTCTTATTACAAATATTATCTTTCATTTCTTTTTGTTTGTCTCCCTCAGTTCGTGTGAGTTAAGCGATGAAGGACGCTACCTCATCTTGTATGTAGTGAGGGGAGCTGAACCAAAGAACAAACTCTATTACTGCGACTTGGAAACTGTAGGATATAAGATTGAAGGTACACTTGTACATGAATTAGAAGGGAGAGCGGGAGAGAGAGAGAGGGAGAGAGGGGGGAGAGAGGGGGGAGAGAGAAAGAGAGGGGGAGTGGAAGAGAGAGAGAGAGGGGGGGGGTGAGAGAGAGAGGGGGGGGTGAGAGAGAGGGGGGAGAGAGAAAGGGGGGGGATGAGAGAGAGATAGAATATTGATTTCATTGCTATACATTTTGTATTACGTGTACATGTACATGTATAATAATTGTATTGCAGGCATATTGCCAATGGTGAAACTGATTGATGATGATTTTGAGTCTTCATATGATGTAAGTAAACCAAAAAATCCTCGCGTCCCTTTTTTATTATTCTCTCTCTCTCTCTCTTCCTCTATCAGTTCATTGCTAATGATGGTACTGTATTTACACTAAAGACTGATTATCAAGCACCTAAATATCAACTGATCAATGTTGACATCAACAAACCTAACAAGGCAAGGAACACACACACAGAACTCTCTCTAATCATTATTACATGTACATTAATAATAATAATAATAATAATAATTATTATTATTATTATTATTATTATTATTACACATTAAATGTATTATTATTATTACAGATTACATGTACATTAATATTATTATAATATTACACATTACATAACACTATAGCATTGTATTATTACACATTAAAATGTAGATTAATATGATGAATATTATTATTACAGATTACATGTATATTAATACTAGTATTATTATTTAAAATACATTATTTAGTCTGATTGGCGTGTGTTGGTGCCAGGTGGAGAGGTTGATGTCCTGGAGTGGGCAGCAGCTGCCAATGATAATAACCTGGTCCTCTGTTTCCTTAGAGATGTCAAGGTAGGAGCATATACACTTTCACACTAGCACTCTCTATTGTGATTTCTTTACTCCTTCCTTTCTTCTCTCTCTCTCTCTCTCTCTCTCTCTCTCTCTCTCTCTCTCTCTCTCTCTCCCTCCCTCCCTCTCCCTCTCTCTCTCCCTCTCTCTCTCTCCCTCTCTCTCTCTCCCTCTCTCTCTCTCTCTCCCTCTCTCTCTCCCTCCCTCCCTCTCTCTCTCTCTCTCTCTCCCTCCCTCCAGTCAGTTCTTATGCTCTATGATATGTATGGTAAAGTTATAACTAACTTTCCACTTGACATGGGATCAGTGACCGGCTATTCCGGTAAACGGAATCAGTCCGAGATATTTTATCGCTTCATGTCATTCCTCACTCCTGGAATGATATATCACTGTGATCTCAGGAACTATCCTCTTAAAACTGAGGTTTGTTGCTATTTTTAGGACTTGTTGCTATATTTAGTAACACCTTTAAAGCATAATGTACTGATATATTTAGTAACAGCAACAGTACGTAATTTTGGTAACAGGTCTGTAATGTTGCTATATTTAGTATATTTGAATAAATTTAGTCATCATGTTTATCAACAACTTACTATAATTAGTAACATTTGTTACTATAATTAGTAACATGTGATATAATTATCCCAATTAATAGATATTTCGTGAGATTAAAGTGGTTGGCTTTGACAGCTCCATATTTGAAACGAAACAGGTTTTCTTTCCAAGCAAAGATGGCACCAAAATCCCAATGTTCATTGTCCATAGGGAGGTATAGCATTATGATGATGAATTGCTTTTCTTTCCTCTCTCTCTCTCTCTCCCTCTCTAATGTCTTTTATTACTAGCAAATTCAGTGGATTAAAAATTAAAATGAATTATTACAAAAGGGATTGAATTGCAAAGGGGGATCTTGTTCAAACCAAGCTTTTTTTTGAAAAGCAATTTTATAAATTTTTACACTCCAATTTGTCTAGCTATGTGACATCTCATTCACTCTCTTAATGTTCTTGTTTTTCAGGGCATTGAATTGGATGGTTCTCACCCATTGCTCTTGTATGGCTATGGCGGCTTTAATATATCTATCACTCCTTACTACAGTACATCTCGTGTTATCTTCATGCAGCATCTTGGAGGAATAGTGGCCATTGCTAATATAAGAGGAGGAGGGTAAGGAATATATAGGAGATTGCATGATCCTTGCAACATTGGTTTATTTTGTTAAGTGGGTCATTTATTATTGAGGATAATAACTAAGGTAGCTGTTTCCCAAAAATTATTTTTTTGTGGCAAATTTTTTGTGAAAATAAAATTTTTCACGCATAATTATTTCAATGAATAATTTCTCAGAAAAATTAATTTTTCCCGGCAAGTTTTCTGGGAGAAATAAATATTCCAGCAAATTTCCAGGGAAAAATTAAAAATTTATCATTTTCTAAAATAATTAATCTTTTCCGGAAAATTTCCCACGAAAAATAAATTTTCCAGCAAATTTTTTTGGATAAAAATTAATAATTTCCAATGGGAAAAATAAATTTTCTCAGCAAATTTTTTAGAAAAAATTGATAAAGATAGGCCAATTTTTCAAAAAGCAAAGGATATAAGATTTTTTTACAAATTTTTAAAGTAACTTCAAAATCGGGCCAAAGTCCCTGTATCATATACAGGGACTTTGGGCAAATTTCACCAAAAATGGGTAGGAGAGAATTTTCCATTTTTATAACTTTTTCTGATACATATACATGTTCTTATGTTGTGTAGAAAGTTTAAGCTTATTTCAGTCAAAATTAGATTTTTTACGAATTTTTAAAGTTGCTTCAAAATTGGGCCAAAGTCCCTGTACTATAGTACAGGGACTTTGGGCAAATTTCACCAAAAATGGGTAGGAGAGAATTCTCCATTTTTATAACTTTTTCTGATACATATATATATTCTTATGTTGTGTAGAAAGTTTAAGCTTATTCCGATCAAAATTAGATTTTTTACGAATTTTTAAAGTTGCATAAAAATTGGGCCAAAGTTGGCCAAATTTCACCAAAAATGGGTCGGAGAGATTTTTCTATTTTTATATATTAATTTTTTACATGTACTTATGTTTTGTAGAACCTTTAAGCTGATTTTATATAACATAGAAACATCTAATAAAAATTTTGGGTGATTTTGGAGTCAATTTTTGGAAAATCTGTTGTCCATGCTCATGAATTTTTTTAAAATTTATTTTAGTGTTATTTTAAATTTATTTACAGTGAATATGGTGAGCAGTGGCATAAAGAAGGAATATTTGCTAAGAGACAGAATGCATATGATGACTTCCAGTCTGCAGCTGAATATCTGATAAGAGAAAAATACACATCCAGTGAGAGGTAGAGCATACAAAATGAATAAAACAATTTAATAATTATTTCTTTTATTAAAGGTTGGTTATACAAGGTGGCTCCAATGGTGGACTACTAGTGTGTTGCTGTGCTAATCAGAGACCTGATCTATTCAAATGTGTCATATCACAAGTTGGGTAAGCCCCTGTAATCATCCCAATGATTATTCTAGAGACAGTGCTTTATTTTCGAGGAGCAAAACTTTTGTTGTTTTTGCGGGTTAGCATGCAACCGCGAAATTAAATATCCGCTAAATATTTAATTGCCATTAAAGGCATGGTACTAACATTGTGAATCCGCAAAAGCTATTTCTGTGAAAGATTGATTTTTATCAATCTGCGAAATTTTAGCTCCGCAAAATTGAAGCGCTATATAGGGACTATAATGTAGCTAACTTGTTTCTCTCACTCTCTCTCTCAGTGTTCTTGATTTATTAAGATTTCATAAATTCACTATTGGTCATGCTTGGGTGACAGACTATGGCAATCCTGATAATGATGCTGACTTTCAATGGCTACACAAGTAACCACCAGGAACTGCATGTACATGTACAACCAAATGCTTCTATAATTATTACTAATTTCTTTATGATAATATTATGTGTTGTTTTTGAAATAAATTTTACTATATCTTCTTCTCACCCTAAAATTTTCTTCTTTCTCTCTCCTTCTCTTTTTCCTTCTCTCCAATCCCTCATGTCTCCTTAGGTTGTCTCCATTACACAATATATCAGTACCAGAAGGCAGTGCCCAGTATCCTGCCATGCTCCTCTTGACTGCCGATCATGATGACAGAGTCGTACCTTTGCACTCTTTTAAATTCATAGCGCAACTGCATCATACAATGAGTGGCATTGAGAAACAGGTACAGTGCATTACATGTATTTGCATGAGGAAGAGAAAGAAAGAGAGAGAGAGGGAGGGGAGAGAGAGAGAGGGAGAGAGAGAGAGAGGGAGGGAGGGAGACAGAGAGGGAGAGAGAGGGAGGGGAGACAGAGAGGGAGAGAGAGAGAGGGAGGGAGGGAGGGAGAGAGAGAGAATAAATATTTAGATATAGAGAGAGGGTGAAGGATGATATTGGAGCAGGGATGAGGGCCCATCACTTTCATTTTTTGTTCTTGTACTTTTTTCATGTGATTACTAGTAACTGATGCTTTAAGTGCTTTCTTGTACATATTAACTGTACTGGGCCTTTTGCTTGTAAGCATCGTTCAGAAGCATCCCTGAAAGAGGATGATTTAAAGAATAAAGTACTTTATAATGTCCTCCTATGTTATTGTGATAGACTAATCCACTGATGATAAGAATAGAAGAGAAGGCAGGACATGGAGGAGGAAAACCAACTGCTAAAATAGTAAGCACTGGATACTACAGCAGCTCAAACACACACACACACTCACGTCACTTATATTTCTCTCTCTCTCTGTTTTCTTTCTCTCTTTTCCCTCCCCAGATTGATGAGACTGCCGACACTTATAGTTTCATAGCTAGAAATCTTAACATTTCTTGGAAAGACTAGTCAATAGGGAATAGGTTTAATTTAGCAAAGACTTTGAGTGAGTGGGAGTCTTTATAGCATTAGTATCAATTATTATTATTAAAGGTGTTGTTAGCTATCAATTACTGAGTATGTCAAAAATAGATTATGTATGTCTTAGATTAGAGTTTTACCAGAAGCTGGCAATAAACCCCGCCCACATGTGGAGCAATATGTAGATTATGGCCAGGGCTTCGACTGGTTTGTGGGTTTTAGTCTTTGGGACTGGTTTCTGTATCAGGAATAATACCAGCAAACTCTATTGGAAGGAAAACAGACAAAATGCTAATACTAATAGCAAAAAAGTAACGATATTTAGATTTGAATTTAAAAAGTTTTGAGTACTATATAGCGGGAAATTTTCGTGGATTTCGCTTTTTCAAAATTCACGAAAATAAAATGTGCAAAAATCAATTTAATACTGTTCAAGATGGCCAAAAAGTAGAAAACTATGAAAATTAAAGCCACGAAATTGATTTTTAGACGGATCCATGAAAATTTTGGGCCATAAAAATTTCTCGCTATACGGTATTTCAGGGGTGCTTTTAAATTTAAAATTGCTTTTATATGCAACTGTAGTGTATCAATATTATAAAACAATAATATAATTTGTGTATTACCAGTATCATGAAGGCCTCCATTGGCCAAAGTAGCCAGTGAATATGGAGGAAGTAGGAACTGACCACGCCCACCAATACTGTGACACACACGACCAAAAATGTGATCCATTTGCCATAGACGACTAAGTACGTTCCCTTTTTCTGTAAAATAACAAACAATCAGTATATCAGAACAAGAATAGTAAATTTTTAGTTTATTTCAGTATATCAAAAACAGAAGAATAGCAAATTTTTAGTTTATTTCAGTATATTTAAAACAGAAGAATAGTAAATTTTTAGTTTATTTCAGTAAAGCACTCACCAGAGGTAAGGTAGGATCAAGTTTTCGACATATTTCATAGGTAAAGAATCCTGAGAATGCAACACTGCCTAGCAAGAATCCAGACCAGCTGTACCATGGGGCACCTGCTAATGCACATATGAACCAGGCACCAAAATATATTGAGACCTGAGGGAGAGAGAGGAAGAGAGAGGGAGGGAGAGAGAGGGAGGGAGAGAGAGGAAGAGAGAGGGAGGAAGAGAGAGGGAGGGAGAGAGAGGAAGAGAGAGGGAGGAAGAGAGAGGGAGGGAGAGAGAGAGAGGGAGGAAGAGAGGGAGGGAGAGAGAGAGAGGGAGGAAGAGAGGGAGAGAGAGGGAGGGAGAAATATGACAGAAAGGAAGAAAGTGGTGAGATTAAGAAGGGTGTGTATGTGGTACATAAACAGCTAATATTTGTGACTAAAATGATTAAATTTTCAAGACGTGAGCAGCGTAATGCTTTAAAAAAAATTTTTATTTGACTACAAAAGATTTGGAGTACATACTTGATGAGTTACTGCATAGAGAAATACTCTTGGTTCCAACCACTCACCAATACCAAATTCAATGTACATCAGGAAACTGTAAAATACCTTTAAGAGAGAGAGAGAGTTTCAACTCTAGGTGCTTATAATATTGCATGCATTACTTGTATTCCAAATGTTATTCCAGCAGAAGGACTAAACCAGACTCCTAGTATGACAGCATACAGGATCATGGCAGCTAGGACGAGATTAATAGCAACCACAACGTCATCGTATTTCAGGAGACCCCTTGGTAGAGGTCTAAAACACACACAAGTGAAAAAATTAAGTAGGAAAGAGAAGGAATTGTGGTGAAAAAAAGTTGTAATAGTTTGTATGTGTTTATTTGAAGTACCTTTCAGGATGTATCTTACAATCTAATTCATAATCTTTGACATCGTCCATTATACGAACAGTTAATAAGAGAACCTGATAAAGAAATAATACAATAGATAAATTTTAAGGATATTCACAAATGAAATTAAAACTGCATTTCTGTACCAGTTCTGCAAATAGCGCAAATAGAAACTTGATCCATTCAATGCGTCCTTCAACAATCTGTAGTCCAGAGAGACAAGGACCGGATGCCAACAGGAAGAATACAATCGGAGGAGCTCTTTCCGTCAAAAACTGGACCCACCTGAAAGGACTGGAGAGAGTTTAATAATTATAGTGATTCTTATTAATCACACCCACCCCCAGCCCTGTCATGCCTTTTGCTTTCAAACTCTTCACACTTACTTCAATGCACTGTAGCTGCCATTTTCTCCTTCATGCGGAGACTAAAAAGCATTCATGATTAAAGTTTATGGGGGGATTTCAATTACCTTCTCCTCATTTACATTTCTTTTCACTCTCTGCATATTCTCATTCAATATTGCCTGCCCCTATCTAGATCCAGAGATCTAATTCAATAATCATTCATTGAATAGGCAGGGCTAAACCGCCTTGAGCCACGCCCAAAACAACTCAAATTAAGCGCAGCAAGCAAAGCTGCGAAAAGCTGGATAACTGTCCATTCTACTATTGCAGTAATGCCTTACAAAGTCAAAAGCTACGGGGTTTTTAGTCCTCACTACGCCAAACTTTGCGGAGATTTTGGTCGTGGCTTAAAAGTCATCCACAGGCGAGTAATAACAGAGAGGGAAGTGGACCTGAGCGAGGATCTTCCTGACAGCCTAGACGGCCTCCCTGCTGAGCCTCAAGGACCTGATCCAGTCATTGAAAGCAGCTATGAATCATGCACCACCTTTCTGCTCTTAGCATGGAAGCAGACGAAATCCAGCAACTCTGCCAGACGATATTACGTCCTTTTGGAGTTTCAGAACAATGATCTAGCCTCAGAAGGAGATGTGCTGATATACAAGGTGTATTCCTCAAAGCACAAGCAAGGGGCAGAGCAAGCACTGCAAGAGGTAAAGTCTTCCTTAGAGCCACTCTCAATGATACCTCTATCAGAGGAACTGATAAAGAATGTTTTACTCCCTCAGCCGATGAATACGCTTCAACTCCAAGAATTACTGAGCGAGTACATTACAAAGAAAGTCCCCAAAAATCCAAAAGACTGGAGAAACCTTTTAGACAGTAACAAGGAATTGCTCAATCAGCATGCAATGGATCCCGATGCAGTGAGTGTCCTAGATTCTCCTCTTAATGGCCATCAGTTGATTGTTGGTGATTCAGTGACTGGTACTACAGTTGTTCATCTTGCAGTAAAGCAAGGCCATAAATATCTCAGAGAGACACTGGAGGCACTTCAATCCCAGCTCCCTCGGCAAGCATGCACTGATCTCATTAATCGTTCCAATAAGGACGGGTTTTCGACAATCGTAAAACCAAGACGTCGCTCAGTTGCAGTCCTGGTATCGGTAAAATCTTTCTCGATTGAGGAACAACAAGACGGGAAGGAGTCTGAGGCTGAAGTGGAGGATACCACAGAAACTGTTATCAAGGTAACAATTATATGCATGATTGCTTTGTATTATATAATTCATCCTGTTCTAGTAGTTGCAAATTTTAATTTTGTGTTACAACTACTGCAATACATTCCATTCATATCTTTCCTAATATAGACTCGGAAATCCAGCAAAGTGTACTCGTTTGAGTTGGGGGCAGTTACTCCACTAATGCTAGCAGCTAGACAGAATAGTGTCAGATGTGTCCATTATCTCCTCATTGCTGGTGCTAATCCAAACTGTCAAGATTCCAATAAAGGAATGAGTGCATTACACATTGGAGCTATACTCTGTAGTGTGTCAATTGTAAAGCTACTCCTCTGCTTTGAGGCAGATCTCACGCTAACTGATGCTGACGGCAGGACACCATTGGATATTGTTAGTAACAGGCAGGGAAAAGAAGCAAAGGATTGCATGGAAGCGATGCAGAGAGTACAAGAATTACGTGCAATGCTCCCTTCAACAGGGTTATTTGTAGTAACAATTGGAGATGTAGAAGAGCATGTTGAAACACCTAATGAAAGCAGTGAAGCTCTTGATGCTATTTCTGGCAATAAACTTCCTGATGATAATATCGTGCTATCAGCCACAGTTCACTTAGAGCCACAAGATAGTAGCTCTACTAATGAAAACACAGGAAAAGATCAAAAAGGAAGCAAAGAGTTTGTACCAGACTCTGAGAATGATGCTGAAAGTGAAGAAGAAGAAGTGAAGTCAAAGCCAAGAACTAGCAAGGATGACTTTGTCACTTTGCTATCATTTGATGGCGGTGGAACTCGTGGCTCCTTAAGTGCCTTTATGCTTTATCAAATTGAGCAGAAAATGAGACAGATTTCTGGTGATCATGACCTACAAATAAGCCAATACTTTAACTGGTATGCTGGAACAAGCATTGGATCATTTCTAGCACTTGGAATGAGTCACAGGAATTTCACAACCAGCTCTCTAATGGCTGCTATCGTGAACTATAGAGATGAAATATTTGCAGGGCGAAGGATATACTCTAGTGCTCCAATTGTAGAGTATGGACAGCGAATACTAGGTGAGGCTGACATTAAGAGTATCAGTGACCCTCGGGTCCTCATAACAACGGTAAAAGCTGATCGTGATCCACCTTCACTCTATTTCATCACAAACTATCGAGAAAAGGCTCAAGAAAACAAGAGAGACTGGAAGGTATGGGAGGCAGCAAGAGCATCAACAGCCGCTCCGTTATACTTTCATGCATTCGAAGACACATATGTTGATGGATCCATACTTGCTATAGTACCGACAATACACGCAATGACTGATATACAAACATACGATAAAGATAGACGTTTAAAACTAGTCCTCTCTCTTGGGACTGGTGAAATTAAAACCGACACCCAGCTGAGCTATCTCAAGGTCCCAAAGCCGCCAAATTTCTTTGCAACAATGAAATCGAACTATGATGGAGTCATAGCATTGATAATGGCTGCTGTCACCTCAACAGACCCGACTATTAATAATTGTAGGGCTTGGTGTGAAATGGGATCAATAGACTTTCATCGTCTCTCTCCTTCATTAAGTACGAGTATACGTATTGATGCTAAGTCAGATCCAGAGTTTGTAATCATGTTCTATGAAACGTATATTTATTGCCTGGAGAATGGAGCCGAGATTGAGAGAGTAGCAAAGAGTTTATTGGAGTTAGGGCCACGATATCACCAGCAACAATAATGTCAAGTAAAAAATATTGATTATTTATTCCTTTTTATTTCATTTATTTATTAACAGCAATTAAAAAAACAAAAAGCAAAATTTATGCCAATTTTGAAAAAAACTCAATTATTGTGGGCGTGACTGGTTAATTTTAACCCTAAAGATGGCGTCTGATGTCGAGTCTGTGAGTAGCTCCATTCAAAGCCACAGATGGTCAGGAGATAGCGAAGAAGAGAGGAAACTATTTCAAGGAGAAGAAGACGATGAAGATGAACTAGAGCGAGGCGGAGAGGGAGGGCTAGAGTCGGAATACAGCTCTACTGAGGAAGAAGTGAAGTCTCTTGATGGAGCCAGAACGAGAGACAGAGACCAAAACGTGTTTAGTCCCAGCAGCAGTTCCAGTTTAAACTCATCCTCATCAGCAGAAGAACCTGGAAATATATTTTCTCAAGATTCAAACTCCTTCAGTGCAGAAATCCTCAACCAGGCATCAAACTTTATTTCTTCGCCGCCACGCCCAAAATCACCGGAAGAATTAAGCTTGATACCAGCATCAGACGATATTGGACTACCTGATGAACTGTTCCCTTTCTCTCCTGGAACCCCACCCACTAACAGCCCAAGCACTTTCGATATGGGAAGCATCGATCAATCTCCTCTCCCTCCCTCTCCCCCTCTCTCTCCGTCACGAGGAGAGGTTATTCTAAATAAAGAGCAGGAGAGGACTGACGAAAATAAAGGACAAGTAATTGCCATGCCCGATTCTAAGAAACCTTCTAAAAATAAACGGAGGTGTGAGGAATGCGTCAACTGTCTCAACATGACTGACTGTAGAAAATGTCGTTTTTGTCGTGACATGAGAAAGTATGGAGGGATAGGTAGACTGAGACAAAAGTGTATCACTAGACAATGTATTAAACTATCACGGGTACTTGCTCAAGAAATGTCAACGGGAGGGGCTTCAAAAAGTAAAATAGGCGTGGCTCCAGAAGAAACATCATCAATGACTCTTAGTATTATTACACAATCCTTGAAAGGCGATAAAACTGAGGCCATACCCACCAACGAATCAAAAGTACAGAGTTTTTATTCTGATCCGGACCACGGGGTGGCTGCGTCTAAGAAGACTGCACCTACTAAAGCAGCCAAGAAAATAACATCAAAGAAACAATCGTCAAAGAAGCAATTGACTCAAACGCAGAAAAGAACTAAAAAGAGAACGAAACAGAAATACACTTATGAGAGTAGCAGCGGAAGCGAAGGAGAGTTTGTATACAGGCCTGTCACCAGGAGGACGCGGGCCAATGACTCGTGGTTCTATCAACCACCAAAGAGACTGGAGAAGAGACAGTGTCTCGGCCCAGAGTGCATGTATGCTGCAAGGAAGTACTCGAAATATTGCAGTGAAGAGTGTGGGGTTGAACTAGCTATGAGGTAGGATTAAGAAGAGGGAATAAGTAGACTTTATTGTGGTACTAATGGAAATATAGGCACTATTTTGAGTTACTGCATCATATTTTTTTGTTTTTGTCTTTTAAAGGATAGGGAGAGGAGACCTGTGTAGTATTTGATATTATTATTATTGATTTTTTGTAATTAGGCGGATAAAGACACATTTACCAGAAGCAAAGGAGAAATGGGATTTAAACGAAGAGCCAAAAGCATCGGAACAAAACAGGGAAAAGATAGCAGAATTAGAGCTAGAACAGACAGTAAGTAATAATGATGTTGATGATGGTGATGAAATTATTTTATTAGAAGATAAAAGACAGATTAAAGGTGCTTGATGAACAAACTGAACTTATCAATGATCATGTGTTAAGAATGAAAGGCATCAAGCAACAAGAGAAAGAAGTACTACTGCACTGTTGCACTACCCATACATTAATAATATAACAATGCTCTTATCTTCATTCATCTCTATTATGATCTGTAGCTTCATACTGATATCACTGAATCAGATGATTTAACTATTTACTGTGCAACATGCAGTAAGCCAATCATGCTAAAGAAGGCCCTAGTTCATATGGAGAAATGCTTCAATAAAGTAAACTTGGCATTCAGAGTAATAAAATTTCAAGTCTTCTCTCTTTTTAACTGTTTAGGTAGAGGGTATGGTATCTTTTGGTTCAATAGTCAAGAATGAAGGGTATGGAATCTCTTCCTTTATTATTATGTATTGCTTTTTTATGAAGCTATCAATTATGCTTTCTTTCTTTCTTTGCATAGTATTAATATTTTCTGTGACAAGTACGACAGCTCCCAGGGAACTTACTGTAAGAGGTTGAAGGTTCTTTGTCCTGAGCACACCAAAGAGCCAAAGGTTAGATCAAAATTAGTATTTATCCTCTTTCATTCATTGTTCTCCTCTCTCTTTCTTCTCTAGGTTGCACCACACGAGATTTGTGGGTGTCCATTGGAATCGGATTTCCCTGGAAAGAAGAAAGTTTGTTCAGTTTTCTGTCGTTCGTTAAAGGAGAGCTGCTCTGTCCATTACTGCTGGGAGAGGTTGAGGAAAGCTGAGATTGACCAGGAGAAGCTAAACCTGGTAAGACGCTAGTGAAAAATAATTTTTAAAGTAATTTTGTGCGGCTACCGTTTTATCATTTCAGTATTTAAAGCTTGAAGAGCTAGGAGAGCAAATGAGACTATTACAATGGCAGCTAAGCTATAGGAAATCACTAATGGCCATATTACTTCATCACACTGTTGACCATTCAAAAGACAGGAGCACTTTTACTACTAATGTTCAATAAAAATTTAATTTATATTTAGATACCACGTGATTAGAGTATACGAAGTAAAAACGGAAACAAAAATTAATAAGCGGGGCTGTTGACTCTGTTGAGAGAGAAAGGTTGAAATCTGTACTGTAACTGACTGTATGAAAAGGACTATTAGCTCGGCTAGTAGGCACAATGAGTCATCCAGTAGCTACTATAACAAAGTACAGCAGCAAGAGTCATGTACTACAGATGGTAAGTTATTGTATAGATCTATGCATTAAAAATTTAATAAAATACACAAGTTTTAGAGCAGCTTTTAAAATTCGATTTTAATTTGAATCAGTAAGAATATGTATACGTATTATGCATACGTATCAGGAAAATTATAAAAGTGAAGAATTTCTTTTGGCAGTGCAGGGTCTTTGATAGTCTTGCCTGCCCCTTAGGTCTTTAGCCCAATTTTGGAACAACTTTAAAAATCCGTAAAAAAATTCAATTTAGATCGGAATTAGTTCAAACTTTGTACACAACATAGGAACATGTATATGTATCAGAAAAAATTATAAAAATGAAGAATTCTCTCCTTTCCATTTTTGGCGAAATTTCACCAAAACCCATGTACTATAGTACAGGGACTTTGACCCGATTTTGGAGCAACTTTTAAAAATTTGTAAAAAATCTAATTTTGATCGGAATCAGCTCAAACTTAATATACGACATAAGGACATGTATATGTATCAGAAAAAATTATGAAAATGAAGAATTCTCTCCTTGCCATTTTTGATGAAATTTGGCTGACGACCTTGTACTATAGTACAAGGTTATCATCAGCCAAACTTTGACCAGATTTTGAAGCAAATTTGAAAATTCTTTAAAAATCCATTTTTGATTGGAATGAGTTCAAACATTATGTGCACAATTAAAATAATTGTCTCATCTTGTTTTTAGACCAAATTTGTATCAACATCATCATTACCAAGTAAAGTGAAGATAGTTGAAGTAGGCCCAAGGGATGGACTCCAGAATGAAAAAGTAAATCAAATATTATTAATGGTTTTAATACTATCATTAGTCATGTCGTTAATTCAGAGTGTAGTACCTACGGAGGTCAAAGTTCAGCTCATTGACAGGTTATCTGAAACTGGTCTTAAAGTTATTGAAGCCACTAGTTTTGTATCACCAAAGTGGGTACCTCAGGTATGCACATAGTTAAAGTACAATTATATTAAATTTCACCTGTTGATTTGGATCAGGTTCAGTCATTTTAGACTAGTGCTGATAGGCTCATGGGAATTAGTATATTCAGACACCTTACTTTCTCTCTCTCTCTTTTCTCTCAGATGGGTGATCATGCAGAAGTAATGGCAGCTATTAAGAGAAAGGCAGGGGTCAAGTATCCAGTGTTAGTACCAAACATGAAAGGTTTTGAAGCTGCTGTAAGTGACAGAAACCATTTCAAAAATGATAAATGTTTTGCTTTTTTTTTCTAAAGATGAAAGCTGGTGCTGAGGAGGTGTCAATTTTTGGAGCAGCTTCAGAAACTTTTAGCAAGTACACGTATAAGCAATATTTATAATCGTTATCTTTTGTTATAATATATTTAGAAAGAACATTAATTGCACTATTGAGGAAAGTTTGGAAAGGTTTCGTCTTGTCACTGAAGCAGCTCAAACTAAAGGAATACCTGTTAGAGGGTAAGGAGAGGGAGAGGGAGGGAGAGTGAACAATAGAGAGAGATTTAAAGCAACGAGAGAGAGAGAGATCTTTATTATTTTATAGTTATGTTTCCTGTGTTGTTGGTTGCCCTTACGAAGGACCTATCTCACCTCAGGCTGTCGCTAAAGTAAAGAGCACCTAATTGAATCATTGCCATTATTATTATTATGACTATTATCTTTCATAATTATAATGGTACGTGTAGGTTGCAGTGAAAATGAAAGAGTTGGGTTGCTATGAGATATCCCTTGGTGACACTATTGGAGTGGGAACACCAGGTAAGCAGTTTTATCAAGTTATCATCTCTCTTTCCACTGCATCATCTTTCCTTTTTAGGAACGATTATTAAAATGTTAAAAGAGGTCACGGCTCACCTTCCTCTCTCCTGTCTCGCCATACATTGCCATGATACTTATGGTCAAGCCTTATCTAACATACTCACTGCGTTGCAGGTATAATAATAATTGATTCAAATCCAATTACATGTACATGATGATGTTAGAATACTTGTGTATGCTCAATTTTATTTAAGCGTTGTAATTTTTTTTAGATGGGTATCTCGGTTGTAGATGCATCAGTTAGCGGTCTTGGTGGATGTCCTTATGCGCCAGGTGCTTCTGGTAACGTAGCAACAGAAGACGTTGTATATATGATGAATGGACTGGGAATAGACACTGTATGGCAAATTTTCTTCTTTCTTTCTTACTCTCATTTGCTTGCTGTCTTTTTCTGTATCTCCTCCTTTTTCTTTCTGCTCATTGTTCTCTCTTCTCTTCTTTTAGGGTGTTAATTTGGAAAAGCTTATTGAAGCCAGTAGTTTCATATCGGATAGTTTAGGTAGAAAATCTTCTTCTAAAGTCACTCAAGCTTTGTCTTGTAAACTATAATAGCAACTTTATTTTATATGAATAGATGACTAGTCTATGAATAATGTCACTACTATCTAATCTGTGTAGCCAATTAGCCATAGATATGTATGCCTTTTAACCTACAAAGTATTCAAGCCCTTTGAGCATAGTAGGCTTATGTTTGAGAGTTGAAGGTGTAACTTACTGTTACCCAATACTCCCTTCATGCTATGAATATTGATAGACCTTTTTTATACTATAGAGAGGCTGACCCCTGCATTGACCTGGGCAGCCAATAGTTGAAATTTTTTATGGGTAGTAGTCTGATAAGAGCTTAACAATAAATACTACTAGACTATACTATAGTACAAAGTCCTATACAACCTCGCCCCTTTAAGTGGAGTTATCGAGCATCTCTCTCTGGTTTATCCTCGGGTTTAACTCTTGAGCCTTGTTTTATAATGGCAGATGAACAACCTTTAGATCTACGTCTCTCTCCTGCTCCTCTTACTCCACCACTTGTAAATGACCAAGAGGAGGAAGAAGAGGATATCCCATTTGACATAGATAGCTTCGTTCGTGATCACTTGCACTGTCCCTCCTGTGGCAAGTACTATGATGATCCTAGAACACTACCTTGTCTCCACACCTACTGTAGAGAATGTCTTGAAAAGGAGGCAAGAGAACAGAAAGAGGAAAAGCAGAGAGAAAGGGAGGAAAATGGACAGGCAGAAGAAGAGCCTCAGGGTCTGGATGAAAGTTACTTAGAGACTCTCCGTAGCTGCAAAGACAACTTTGACTGCCCTCAAGGTTGTCAGTGGCCTGAAGACACTGTAATAAAGTTTGATGGAGATGGTGGCACCAATCCCATTCCACCAGCAAATAAATTCCTTGACAACATGGTAAAGGATTTACGACTCAAGAATGAAGTACCAGCCGGTAAGGTTCCCTGTGGGAACTGCGATGATGGAGAAGTTGCAGTTGCTGTTTGTAACAATCTTGAATGTGCCAACCTTCCACTCTGCTCTGATTGTTTAAGGTATCATAAGAAAACAATAAAAACAAAAAGGCATAATATAATATATCCTGAGACAATAGGAGCAAAGGGAAATAGCAATGGGAGTGGAGATGGAGGGGAAGGAAGCCTGCCGCCATCATGGAAAGATTTTGAACGCCACAACTGGTCATGTGATTTTCATCCTAATTTTCCTGTTGATCGTTATTGCTATGAACATAAACAGGTGATATGCCATGAATGTGGAGATCTTGGTGATAATAATAAAGGCCATCGTAACTGTCCAAAAGTGGAACGAACTAAAGATGTTGCAGATGAAGAAAAAATAGCTGTTGCTGAAGCACTTGATGAAATTAAAGGTGTACAAGCAAGAATTATAAAAGCAATAAATGAAATCGAAAATATGAAAAAATCCCTCACCAGCAATAAAAACTGGACAATATCTACAATTAACGAACATTGTGAGAAACTCATTGAGGATCTGAAGAGGCAAAGAGAAAGTCTTACAAATCAAACCAAACAGATACATGATAAAAAAATGGCTGATTTCGTGGAGCACCAGGATGAGCTTAGACTTATCTCAGATACACTTCAAAGGAGCATTGATTTCATTGGAGGGTCTGTAAACATGGCAATACCAACAGAGTTCATGTTCCTTAAGGAGAGCTTTCATGAGCGTTTGAATTACCTCAAGGAACGCTACAAGAACTCTCACATGCTGCCTTCAGATGTAAATGATAGAATACACCTCAAGTTGAATGAGGGTTTTAGTGTGGATGGTGCTCTTGGGCAGGTCGTTGGAACGCCATTTATTAAAAACTACACTGTGGAGCGGGAGTCTGTCCCAGATCCAGTACATTCTCGAAGAGCTTACTCATTTAAGATTCAGAGTCGTGATATATGCAGGACAGAAGTTGCTGGTAGTGTACCAATGCTTGAGGCAACTATGTATCCTGTTGAAAACCCAAAGCAAATATTCCAATGCTTTGTCAAACTCAATAATGAACAAGGAGTTTATACGGTTTATTTTTATCCATTAAGAGCTGGCAGACATAAAGTTAATGTGTATCATCCTCAAACCCAACCTCTTTCTGTTAGAGGATGTCCGTTTTATATTGATGTAAGGCGTTGATGTGACTGATTTAAAGCACATAGATGTAATAATGTCTATGTGTAATTTTTGTCCTTTAAACAATAATAACAACTTTATTATTTTTTCATGTGACCAAATTTGAAAATTGATTTTACCATTTGAAATCATACATTTCCTTAGGTTGTGGGCTCTTTCATAGATAATATACGACATGAAAGGGATTGGAAACCACCGTTCGTGGCAGGAAATGCTAGTTGTCAATACCGTATTAAATTGTACGGATTATTAGAATAAAATAGTATATGAAAAATTGAAATAAGGTTTTGCAGTGTTGGTGAAGGCACTTCTCTGCTGTTTCCTGAACACCAGAAACGAAATATGATAGCTTCTTTGCTATTGACTATTTTCTCAATGATTTTTACAAATAGTTTTCCTTGCATTTAAGAAAATCACTACCTACAAAAGTGTTGGAGTCATATAAAACTGATATGTGAAAATAAAATAATAATTATATAAAATATGTATGGTAGAATTCAGATGTAAAAATATCTTACTAACCTCCGCAATAGAATCATATATCTGTATAAAAAATTTGAATGCTGAACTATATGAGGCCATCGAGTTAAGGGTACAAAACAAAAGTATTTTTCAGACTGACAACATTTAGCTATGGATTTATAGTGATGAGTTATTTCTCTTTAAAAAGGGCCTATTAACCTCAGTTTTGTAGCTACTTAAATGATCATAAACTTATATGGAAGATTAAACTAAAAGCCTCGGATAAAAAGGTACAAAACAAAACTGACAGTTAGGAACTTGAAAGGTACACTTTAGGACAGGATTTCATACAGACCATAAGTCCAGTCCTCTTGAACCAGGTATCAATGGATAGCTAAGACCTTGACCTCTTCGTCTGTCTTAAAATTGTAGCGATAGTTCATATTAGACATAAATTATAAGCTGTAAACTGCGGTGAAGATCCTTCATTTTGCTCATTTCGCGGGCAACTTGCAGTCTTGCATACGTCGCTACTCGCTAGGCAACGCATTACATTCCATGTAGAGTAATTTCCCGGTGGTTTTCAATCCCCTTCATGTAGTATAATTATATAGCTCTTTTGTGTGGGAACAAAATTTCTTTGGGAGTCTCTTTACTTTGGTGAGAAGAATGGCCGCCAGTGATTCCGAAGAACAGTTTTACCGTCTCTCTCCAGCAGCACATGAAGAGGAAAGAGAACCCGTGAATGATTCTATTATTGCTAGTGGCGGATTCGACATAGAGAGCTTCACTCGTGACCACTTGCACTGTCCCTCCTGTGGCAAGTACTATGATGATCCTAGGACACTGCCTTGTCTGGACAGCTACTGTAGAGAATGTCTTGAAAAGGAGGCGAGGAAGCAGAGAGAGGAAAAGGAGAGAGAGCGTGAGAGGGAAGCAAGAGAAAGGGAGGAAAGTGGGCAGGCAGAGGAGGAGCCGCATGATTTGGATGAAAGTTACTTAGAAACTCTCCGTAACTCTTACAACCTAACTCCTGTTTCCACCGAAGGATCAACTAATGAATACTCTGAGTCTTTGAGCAACACCTTTGACTGTCCTCAAGGCTGTCAGTGTCCCACTGGAATAAGTTTTGATCGAGATGGTGACATTGATCACATCCCACCTTCAAATAAATTCCTTGGCAACATGGTAAAGGACGTACAACTCAAGAATGAAGTACCGGCTGGTAAGATTCTCTGCAAGAGCTGCATTGATGAAAAAGTTGCAGTTGCTGTTTGTAACAATCCTGAATGTGCCAACCTTCCACTCTGCTCTGAT